GGTCGTCCGCGCTGCGCACGGAGAGCAACGCTGTTGCGTAGATTGAAGGCAGTTCACGACTGGAAGAAGCGCAGAGAAAAACAGGCGGCGAGAGTGCACGAGGAAAGAGGAGTGACGCGCAATACACACCTTGTGCACTCTCCGCGCCCTGCGCGGACGGCCTATATCACTTTGCGTTTGGTTGTTTACTAACGCACACTCAAAGTGTATAACAATAAATAAGCAAATCTCAGTTTCATTAACGTTTTGCCCACCATCACGGCACGTCTAACTAATCTCAGCCAATTTGCTATAATATGTACATCCAAAAACCAACAGTCAGATGTCCTTCAAATCAGAATCCTGTTTATATCCTGAGCAGGGCTCGGCACGAGGTGGCCTTCCGAAAATGCAAGAAACGAACTCCCTTTGAACCCTCTCCGAACGTAAAAAACCTCAAATAACGAAAAGTGACTAAAAGAACGTGACCTGCGTCTTTTCGACTAAAAAACGATATCCTCTTTGCTTTTTGTCCGAAAAACAACTCCCAACTCGCTTATAAGCCATCTGTGCCGAGACCTGATCCTGCGATTTAGGCAAAAGTTGCATGGAAATTCATGCGACTCGAATCAGCGCGTTGTTAGTCGGCTCTGTCCAATACGACAAATCAAGTGCCGCTTCGCAGGATCGTTAAAGGTAAAATTCAATTATGGCGACAACACGACAGAAATATGTAACTAGGAAACCCATATAAAATTTGGACTAATATCAAATCCCTAGGAAAATTTTATTGCCATTGTTTGTGGTATCTAAGGAACCACCACTTCGAATAATTAAGCATTTGAGAGGCTTACCCCAAAGGTAAGAGTCGGCTTCTATGAAAATGAAGTGGCTTGTCCCCGTCTTACTTCTTGTTCAGGTAATACTAATCTTCATATCAAGATGATCTTATGTTAATATTAACAGAGCTTGTTATACTTATTTCTCAGGCAAACTACCTTTCGTCCTGCATTTTTGATAAAGTGGAGGAGGTTTCCGGTCGCATTGAACGAACTTTCAACAGCGATCTGAATGGGTGCCTTGCTGCTTGCTATGAGGACAAAAACTGCACGGCATTAAAACGTACAATACCGCTCATAATTCGTCAAAAAAGTCGCCGGACTGCGGCGGAGTGCGCTAGAGTGCGTTGGAGTGTGGCGGAGTGCGGCGCAGTGCGCCGGAGTGGGGCGGAATGTGGCGGAGTGCGCCGCACTCCGGCGACTTTTTTGACGAATTATGATCGGTATTGTATGTCATAAGGGAATTTTTCTAGGGTCATTTCTGTCCACATTGCGTCATTTGTTTTGCGTATGTCCTGACCTGTTGAGACCTTCTGGTTCACCAACATTTGAATTCGGTCAAACACGTGAGCACAACTTTCCGCTGTGTCGCTGAAGTGAAGGTAACTACGAACTTTCTTGCCCTGTTTATTGGCTTATTGCTATATTTCTTTTTCAAGGCATCAATCATCCATTCCAATTTTGTGGTATTAGCTGAATGTCTTTGATCGCGTTGTCAGACTTTCCTTTCAGACTGTCCTTCAAGGACAACATTTTTCCACTCTGCTAAGTGTGGTGTTCCTGTCGCCAACGTGTCGTAGATTGTCCAGCATTCTAGGAAATCCTCCTCGACTCCGTAGAGCTTTGGCACTTCCAGTGCGATCGTCTTCACATTGTTACAGCTTTGTATTTGATTTGCATCAGTGCTATCATTGCTGTTCTTGGATAGCCATTCGTTTGCCGTGATGAATCCTTGTTGCTCATTGTTGTTATTAGGTTGGAAACTAAGTTTTGCAACTGGTCTCATAACTTCCCTCTCACTCAACACTCATATCTTTCAAAATAGACCTTTTATTTTGCGTAAATATGGGTTCAGTACTAGTGTGCGTTTGCCTCTTGTGCATGAGGTGCGGAATGCGTGGCCCATTACCAACTAAGATTATAATGGCGGGAAATAATTCATTCAAATAGAATTCTACTTCGAAAGTACATCTGATAACAGTAAGACATGTTTGCTTCAATATCTCTTTACTGCGTTTCATCATATCTCTCATACCTTCACATAAGTCATGTTTTGGATACTTCCTTGGGAACTACTGATGAAAGTGTTTTGACACGTGGGCACCAAGGAAGGTCGCAATGGCGCACTCAAATTTTGCCACTGCGTTGGTTATTACGTAAGCTACAAGCGCAGCTGCTGTCCTACCAATTTCTGACGTCGCAGTGAGGGTTACGGCAGGTGTATGAACGGGAAAAATTCAAAGTTTGACGGATTCGGCTGAAACTTGGCATAGGGGTATTATCCTACATGCTGATCACGAAAACGATAGTGAAATTGCGTGATAAGGGCTTTTTTTGTAGGTTTACTGTAGGTGTACGATATGGGGTCTCACCCTAAACAAGGAAAAAGGCGTTGATTCAATAAATGAATGTGGTACTCGCGTTTGGCAAGTCAAATAACCAGGGTCAAGCGTGGGGTGCGGCACGCCACACCTAGGGGGTCGTATTGAGGAGTCAAAAGGGGAGGGGGTCGTAGTTGGGTAATCTGATGACAGTGATAACATGATATTCGTATCCTATCCATAATTAGCATGTCAAATAACCCCTGTAGACAAAGTGTGAGCGAATTCTGAAGATTCAAGATACTAGGCTACCTAAGTGAAATGGTCAAATTCCAATATGGTTAACTTTGTTTCAAAGGTGAATTAGCTATCCTTTTTTGCACTCAAGACAAAGCACTACTCCCTCTTTGTCCACCTCAGGAATCTCGCTTCAGAAGACCTGCAAACTGTGGAATTAGAAGCCAACCAAAATCTCGTTTTTCCCATTTTTCGCTTTTGATCGCTGTGCTTTCACCAAATATTACTTAGAGCTAAGAAGACAAATCAGGCTCCAAACAGTCCTATGGAATCTACAAGGTTTAGGCTATCGATTCATATAAATATTGTCCGCTAAAAATGTTTTTTGATATAGTTAATGGGGTGCGGCACACCCCCTTAAAAGCTGCGGCTGCCGCAGCCTTTAAGGGGGTGTGCCGCACCCCCTAAACTTGCCTTCAAAATCCAGAAAGTGCTCCATTGCTGGTATGAGTATTGAGCACATAGCTTCTTGTTGCTACATTGGAAATTTGAAGCCGAAAGAACCACCCATAAGAAAATTATGGCCCTTTCAATATGCCCATTCAGATCAAAATCAGCCGTCAAATTACGTGTGATTGTAAAGTGCAGTCAGAGAAAATCGGGCGTACAGCTCTCAGAAATCTGAAAACTCTCTAGAAAAAGATGGTGTCCTCCAGAATGTCAGACTTTGAGGTCCAGAGGTTGAAAGGAGGAAGAAGGGGTCGTTTGAGGGCTTTCATGGGAGGGGGAAGGGTTTCGAAAGACTTGTGCCTGACCTCTTTCTCAATTATGGCAATGCTATCTTAGGTATATAGTTCAGGGGGAGGGGGGGTCTTATTAAGACAGCAATCAGGGGGGGGGGGGGGGATCATAACCAGCGATCGTGTGCCGCACCCCTTGCTTGACCCTGCAGATAACCTAACTACGTAAAGTCTCGGCGGAAATTGAGCTTCGTCTTTAGTCATTGACGGACGTCCCCAGCAGCTCTTGCATACATCGACTCGTTCGACTTTATGAGGACGCCAAATCTCGACATGCCTCTAAATTTTGTTTCTTTCTTACTAGGCCAAAGGAGTCATCTTCCAGCAATAATTTATAGACGTGTCCGGATTACTGCGCATGGACTAGGCTGCCAAAGGCTTCATTTTAGCTTGAAACCCCAAAAACTCCCAAATTTCACTAGTTTTCGAAAAACGCCCAAAACTTTTCTATTTCGTGTTCAGAATTTAGACAATTTGTGCTCACTTGTAGCTCACGTTGCCTTCTACATAATGCCAAAGTTTGAGTGCGCCATATTCAAAGAGAGTGAAGTTATGAAACCAGTTGCAAAACTTAGTTTCCAGCCTAATATTTTGAGTCGGATTTTCATTGATAATTACTGTATAATTTGTTTGTGTGCACAGTGAGTCCTAGTTTGCTCTTCAGTCTGTTCCGGGTGCTAATTAATTCGGTTAGCCTAGTTCTGAGCATATAAATCATTTCTGTTGCTGTACCCAATTCGTTGAAACTCGTTTCGCTTTCGAGCTTCTCCAAACACTCGGAGAAGTCTTCTTTTTCAATCTGATTTTGAATTCTGTAATACTCTTTTTCAATTTGAGCGACGAGGTCTGTTAGCTCGTCTTTGGCAACAACGATCTGTTTACCCTTCATTTATTAAATCTGCGGCTGCTAGACATTCGTCTTAGGCTTTTTCGTCGTCGGAGGAGAAATTTTTTTTGTGTATTCCTTGTACATGTTTGTTAATGTTTTTAGCGTCTTGGCGCTTATGGTGAGCGGTTTTATCAGCAATACCAACTCCATCTTGCTTTGACAAGATGTACAAGAATTTCACCTGTAAAGAAATCGGCGAGTTTTTACTTTCCCGGCCGATGCACCAAAATTGCGGTGGTTCAGTGGGAATGTTTTCGCCCTTTTCCTTCCCCTGTCAACGCTAGAGGAATATGATGGTTTTATTCAGCAACAAAATAAGCGGTATCTCTGGTACACGACAAATATAGCACAACGGGCATCGGCAAGGAGGAGGCTGGCCGATGAGCATAAAGAGTCAGCCATGTGACAGGCTTTTTGTGCCAGAAATGAGTAACATACACAACTGTAAACAAATTAAGAAAAAAGGGCTGAGTTCGGATCGCGTCTTTATCACGACACTCTTCATATTTTCAATAAGCAGAGCTGGTCTGACGTTGGCGTTAATCACAAATGTATGAGTGTATCCGCATAATAGAGAAGGAGTGCGTATAATACACCGCAGATCGGAAGAAATGTGCGCTTGGAAGATTTCAAGCATACATGAAACGAAAAAGTTTGCGTAAATACAAAAACATGTTGGATAGTGGAAACGACTTCGGAAAAAGGGAATATTTTGATGCGAAACCGAAATCTCATAAAGGAAGCTACCTAATTTAGCTCGGCCTTTTGACAAGGAAATATATTCTGATTCAGCTTCAAATGCTGGTACCAAATATGTACAATACCGCTCACAGAATGTGCAAAATTTCCGTGAATGTCGCAGACTGGAATTCCGCGAAATTCCCGAAATTTCGCGAACCTTCGCGGAATTCCTGGAATTCTGCGACATTCACGGAAATTTTGCACATTCTGTGAGCGGTATGTACGTAGCTGCAGTTCAAGAAGCATAATAGCATTATTTTCGTAATTAGCATGTCAAGTAACCCTTGTGGACCAAGTTTCAGCGAATTTTGAGGTTTCCAAATATTGGCACATCAAGTGAGATGGTCATGATCTGTTAACGTTGTTTCAAAGATGAGTAAACTACTTCTTTTTGCACTCAATAAAAGTACCACTTTAAGCAGTGGTATCAACGCAGAGTACTAACTAACCATCAAACTCCAGAATCAAGAGCTCAGACAATCGCTGGGGGCAGGCGGTCCGCAAACTCGAGCTTTTCTGCAGGCGGTCAGCAGAAAATTGGGGCGTGGCCAAGCCGCCAGCGGGCGGCACTGCTTTGCTGTCGCATATTCTGCCAGCGGGCAGCATTACAGCATTTTGTGCAAGCGCTCGGCAAATAACTTCTTTTAGCTAGCGCTGGCCAAACTTTCAGCAAGCAGTCGGGCTCTTTTTGCGCAGTTTCGGGCATACGCCGAGGAAAGGTGAGACTCTATATGGCAGTTTTGTCATCGTCGGTTTAATTACTCAAGTTTGGGGTACTTTCCCCCAGCGGAAAGTACCTATGGGCTGTGCGGTCCTTCGCAAAGGACCGTGCGGCCGTCAATAATTTTACATATTCTCGCGGAAAGTCCGCGAGAATATGCAAAATTTTCGAGAGCCGCACGGTCCTTTGTGGAGGACCGCGCAGCCCCCAGGTACTTTCCGCTTAGAGAAAGTACCTTAAACTTGAGTAATCAAACCATCGATGACAGCTCTGTCATTTAGAGTCTCACCATTGCTCGGCGTACGCCCGAAACTGCTTAAAAACCGTCCGAGCGCCAGCTGAAAACTTGACCAGCGCTGGCTGAAAGAGATTTATTTGAGGAGCGCCTGCAGAATTCTGTGTTGCTGCCCGCTGGCAGAACATTAGACAGTAAAAGGAGTACCGCTCGCTGAAGATTTCCACGCCCAGAATTCTACTGACCGCTTGCAGAAAAACGCGAGTTTGAGGACCGCCTGCCCTCAGCGATTATCTGAGAAGTTGGCGAGGGTACTTTAGTGTGTATTCGATCGTATTTACAAGGAGCGCCAGACTGCAACCCTTATCTGCGGAACGCTCCTGTTGAAAGTTCAAAGTTTGACAATGCTCAACGTTAATGCATTGCTCAGTATAGAAGCGCAGTGCTTATCGTGCTAGAAGCAGCATCAATGCTGTCGTTTATTTCGCAGAGGGTTGCATGTCCGCATTTTTTTAAACATTTTTTTGCTTTTTGTTTCTGACGCCACAGCCTTCTTCTGAAAAACTTTTTGCAAATAAGGAATACAGTTTTGAGATGAGCATTCATCATTGTCTTCAGCAATATACATCTCTTCTC